CTCTTGGCCAGGACTACCTTGAAAAAGAGGTTTTTAATCTCAATGGGACTTTCCTGGTTAAATAAAAGAAATAAATAATAAATAATATATTGTACAGATATAGAGCAACATTTTCAAGTGGTACTAGCTAAAATTCATTCCCGAAAAATGGCGCCAACTGATTACTTAAGATCTTAGTCTAAAACTTTGGTGTACAAAGCAGCATGTAATATGCATTCTTTAAAATGAATCATAACTTTTTATGCAGTAAAACTGAAGATACCTTTAAACATATTTAAAAAAGAATCAAGTTAAACTAACAGCAGCAAACTTTGACACTGTAACATGATAATGCCAAGAAAAACAAAGCAGCCAGAACCATTTGTTTTTTGTCTCTTATACAATGCAAATTTTAAGAGAAACTGTAACATTTCTGTTAGTTATCAGACATTTGTGTACACGACAGCATTTTTTAACGAGACTGAAGTGCACGTGTTGTTGAAGTGCTAAAAAAAATCACAGCGCCAGCTTGTGACCCGGCATAGAAACTACAGCAGAATAAACTTTTTGTTGCGATCTCATCTAAATTGAGATTCTGATCACAGGACTACCTTGTGGACGTGTAACTTTTTCACAGTCATCATCGTTTCATCGGACAAAACGTTTCCAGAGACCGTTCATGTGTAAACAAGGCCTTAGAAAAAAAAAAACACCACAAACTGCGTCTCTCTGTGCAGAAAAAAGAATCGCTCCATTTACTGAGATGAAAACACCGATAAGATGATTGCAACCACATGGTGTCATTAGCACTAAGCATATGAAGTAAACGTGTCAAGCAGCCTCACCACACGCTGGAGGATGAGAAGAAACTGTGCTGTTATAATGGGATTGTTTATAAAACTCTGACACAGCAGCGCTACTAAAAGCCTAAAACAGCAAGTGTTTTTTTTTCTCTTTTTTCCTGTGTGGGGTCCCTGGTGCAGTCTTCACTCTGCACACATACAGTATTTCATTGTGTGGGATCTGCATAGCAGATGATACTGACGTCAGCGTGATCATTCCTATTTGGTGTATGTGGGGGAAAAAGGACTAATCATACTTTTGTATTTTGACTGTTTTAGTTTCCCTCCATATTGTTTTTTTTATAGACAAACAGGGAGAGAGAGATGTTCATAAAGAAGTCTAGCAGTCTGAACTTCACACAGAGCACTCAGTCTGCAGTCACTCTTTAAGAAACTACTGAGAGGTGCCAAGAGCTGCCATCTAGAAAATGATGTGTGGACATGGAAGGCTGCTGGTTGATGCAGTGTTCTTTTTAACAGGGATCTTCCACGGTAGCACTGGGGGCATGAGCTCGGGACACACACAGCACTGAGGGACACCAGAGCGGTCTGACCAAATCCCGTTAGGTAAGCCTGGGTTAGTGATTCCACGCTGCGAGACACTGGCTAGCAGATCCGTCACGTTCCTCCTACATCAAAGGAAGCGCAGCGCTGCACCCCTCCTCCTCACCATGAGGATCTGCAATTGAGGGTCCAAAGGGGGCGAAAAAAAGAACACTGCAATGGAAAGACAGCTCTTTAAATCTTTGCAAAACTAAAAAAAAGAAATAAAAACAGCAGTCCTATCTTCATGCTGTTACCCAAGACTCACAAGACTGTTCTTACACAGCAGGAGATCACAAACACATCTTCACAGTCAGCTGAAAGCCCTTGTGCTGCATCTTCTGCACCATCAACATTTCAAACCCAAAACCTTGCAGAGTGTTTTTATCTCATCAAACACGCACTTATGTGTTTACTTAAATGGATATGGCTGAACGTCATGGTCTCTGTGCTTTTGATGACTTGTTAAAACCTTCAGAGGAGCATGTAGAACCACGGTTCATGCAGTTTTAACCACTGGCTTGTGTAACAACAGCTGCGTGCACTGAGAATGGATTTTGGGGGTCATTTAAAAATATGCGCCGACTGTTACATGCATGACAATCTTGTTTTAAAAGCTTTCGATTCCAAATCCAACCCTGGTGTTTGGAGGGCTAAAGAAGTACATTTTCAAAACTCCTGAAGACAGTCGGCTCATCTCCTTCCACACGTTAAAAAGTCGAGTGAAGACAGCGCTTTTAAGATCAGTCTTTGCAACATTACAGGAGTTATTTTTATCTTTTCTAATTTTACACATCAAAAGATCAACAGAACACAGACAAAGGACTCTTATCTGATGCATCTAAAAATGCTTCAATACAAGTAGTGCAAAAAAAAAAGTCGTTCATCACTACAGTTATCAAACAGAGAAAAATTAGCCAGTTTTATTGAAATTTGTTTAGGTTAACTTTGTGCGCAGAGTTCCAAGTTTTGAACAGCTTCTAAATAGAAAATAATCTACTTTTTTGTAACACAAAACAGACTTCTTCCAGTCAACTTTGTTTAAATCAATACGCCTGCATCTCAAGTACATTCACACCAAAAACCGAGCTTCTGCGGTAGAGTCAGCTCGTTAGGCTGAAAGTCCTAAAATCTGCTGACAATCAGTAACTCCTGACGTCTCCATCCTGACTGGACAGCATGTGCAGGAATGTCATGGTCAATGAAATCAATCTAAACTGCTGGGATCGGGGTGGAGGGAGGGGGACCGGGGCTCAGGATGGAAGAGAATGAAAGAGAGAATGTAGCTTTGATCTCGGTGAAAACCGATCCCAGGCCTGCAGATACTGTGGCTGCGGTGGAGGCCGGCAGCAGAGGCAGCGAGTTGACATCAGTGAGAACGCCAGAGGACTCTTGTTCCACCGAGCTTTGGCTCCTGTTATCGAACAAGTAGGAGAAATGTGTGTATATATACAGATATATATATAGTTTTAAAAAGAGACTACTGTTTTATTGAAGACAGGATGAGGGGGAGAAAGCAACCACAGTAAAAGAAATTAAAGCTGGACTTTAGAAGTTTTGGCAGCAAGCGCACCGCCTAACTGCCTGGTTTTAAACATCTGCACTTAGGGGTAATTTCCTCTCACACAGTCAGCTGGTCTCCATACAGACCTTGGAGTTTTTCAGGATCATCTGATGGTGATGATTAAAAAACAAGCCATAAACAAACAAACAAACAAACAAAAAGTAGAAACCATCACATGCCCACATTTCTGAAACTAAGCCGTTTACACACCAAACAAGGTAAAAGCATAAATTTTCTCCACAATGTCTCGTACTTTCACTTCTGCAACTATTTCAGAGGAGAAGCTGAGCAATTTTAACATCATTTCTTGATAGAGTTGCGTGTGAAAGAAGATCCTTTGCACTCAGCATGTGGCATCTACCCCCGACACTCACATCTGCTTCCCAAAGCAGACTCTCACAACAACACAGGACTCACACTTCACAACTTTACGTTGCTGAAACCGACTCGACTGAACTGCAAAAAACACACGACGCACGGGGGGTTTTTGTTCTTCCTCGCCATGTGGCACGCATTTCCAGTCTTAGGCATCTAACCACGGACAGACAGGCTCAACCTGTCTTCCCGAGTGCCACACGAAGGATAAGCGTGGACAGCCGCAGGTCGGTTCTGTGTTTTATGCCTGACTTTAGAGGAGAAATCTGCAAATGGGGCAGACACCGGAAGCCACTGGCGAGAGACCTGCAGCTGGCCTGAAATTATTGCAGTTCGAGGGGTAATATCTGAAAAGCACTTCAACCCGGTCAACAATAGAGGCTCTTTTGCAGGTTAGCCTCAGGCGCTCATGCTGAGCCCAGAAGTGGTGTTTCGTTGGGTCATGCAGACAAACATCACTGGAGTTTTAACAGGAGGGGAAGAATAAAAGTGTTGAAATCATGGGAGACATTTGCCTCCCAGGAGGTCAAACAGACTAGTTAAGAGGGTAGGTGTCAACAGTGCTGGTGTGTAAGAGTAAATACAGTGGCACAAACATTTCAAATGACAAAACATCAAATTGATTGCTTAGCGGGAATGTTTCCATGTGATATAATAAGAAGGGTTTAATGTTTTGATTTTGCTCTTTTTATTTTTGTTTTATTTGTTGACAGACCTATGTCTAGTAATTTTCTATTTCTAGAGGTACATGGACCTTCCTACCTCAAATCTTTAATATTTTTGCAGCACACTGGTTCATGTTTTCACAAAATAAATCTATGACAATTGTTTTTAGCCTCACAAATAACTGCAAGTAATGAGTTTTGTTGTAATCAATAAAGTAGCTTTTTGATTAAATGATTTATGGTTAGATGTCAAACGTTTAAAAAGATGAACATTTAAATCTGAAAGACTAATAAATTAAACTAATAATCATTTTAATCCTAAAAAAAGTACTTAAAAATAAAAGAGCAGAAATTCACATTTCATTATTGTTTTTACATCAGATCTTGTAAATATTAAAGTCTTTGTTCTTTTTTGGTCTTTATTGGTAGCCGCATGATAATCTAAGTGTGTCTCATGTTCAGAAATGTCCAGAATCTGTTGATGTCCAGAGCAACAAGTTGCTTTACTTCTTTAGACTTTATTGTCAGAAAAAAGTTGTTAAATGTGCTAAAGTTGACCCGGTTCTTGGCTACAAATTTTCCGCTGTCAAACTGTGACATTTAAATAAGTAACTGAGCTTTTATTCAACTTCTACAAGTGCAAAATTAATACAGTTTTTGTAGGTCAAACCAGAGTCATGCTACTTGAGGGTTTTTTTCCCACCCAGAAACAGCTGATTTAGTGCTACTTTAATGTCATTTATCTGCAAAGAAAATCTAGCTTTTTAGTCAAATTTACAGAAATTAACTTTAATGAGTTTGAAGTAATTTACTTACTCCTAAATAACATTATTGAGTTTATTAAAATTTACAAACAAAAGCTCAACTGTACTTTTATCCTTGTGATCAAATATTAAATATTTCTGGGTGATAGAAAAATTTTTTTGTTTGTCTTGTCAATGATGAACTTGTTAAGTTCATTTATTATCATACATCCACGGTTTTTGTCAGTAAGTCATTTCAGACAGCTTTTTAAAAAAAGTGTGTACTCACTGTTCTGGGCATGGGCGGCGAAAGGGAGCCATTGTTTATGTAGGAGTCGCTGTTCATGTTGCTCATCATGATGTAGCTCGGGTAGGTTGGGTATGGATGGCCTTTACTGTACATGTCTTGATGTTTTACTAATAAAAATAGCAGAGAAAAACAGGAGTGTTGATTGGGCAGAGATAAAGAATACATTTACAAGCAGCAGATAAAAGCTAACTGATAAGTCATCGTCGAAACTCAAGTCTAAAACGCTTCTCTAAACACAATAAATATCTTTAAATAAAAAGGATTTGTCGTATATACAGTCTGACGAACAAAACGGGCAACAACAAAGCTGATCTTGAATTACATCTGGTCTGATTCAGCAATGATATCACTCTCTGTTGCTTTAACCTATGCCCCATTTTGCTTCGGCCTTTTGTTTGCCCCCTTTCTTTCCACCAAACAGGGGAGGGGTGTATTATACAGAGGAACAAAGAAGCCCCTCTGTGCCAATTAGCACCAATTAGAAGAACATACAGACTGTGTCAAAACAGGAGACGCCCCAACTGTTTCTCCATGCCTTTGACCTGAAAAAAAAAAGGGGGGGGGGGGGGCTTCAATAAAAGAGGCCTCAATACAGCGCCACTCGCCACTCAGAGGCAGAATAAGGCCACGTTGTGGGGAGGGTGGGGGGTGGAGGGGTTTTGGTATACAGCCCGATGGCGACGCGGATCTTGTTGTAAAGAAGAGCGATGTTTGGTTTTGAGGGGGTCTTATTCAGGAGTGAAAGGGGAACAAAGAGGAGACACACTCCTCTTCAAAAGCCTTAATGATGACCTGCAGCAGGGTCAGACTACAATAGCCAGGGAGCAATGAGTCCTGAGGGACGGCAGCAACATGTTGCATGTGACTGGTCTAAGCTAGGCAGCTTCAACTGCGCTCTTAGGAAGAACCCGACCTAAAAAAGGTGGCTTTCTGGTCAGAAGGCCTTTGAAAAGAAAACAAACAATATAAAATAGGGGCATCTTATTTGAGATATTCCTGTTTTCTCCCCCACTTCTGCAGGCACCCTCATCTATGCAGTAGGTAGCTGTGTTTCTGAAGACAGCGTGTCCAGACTAGACTGGGATCAGCTGGATCAGAGGCTCTGATAAGAAAACAAAAAAAAACCTATGAACAGTACATGTCTGTAAAACAAGGTGACACTTCTTCCTCGTGTCGCCTTTGCCTCAGTTTGTAAAAGCAGTCGATTCTTAAAATGTCTGAAGGGTCGATTTAACAAGTTCTAGCTTAGGGCTGCGTCACTTACTATCATCTGGATGGTCTCTGTGTTTTTCGTGGTATGAATCCTGCTGTATTTGGGACTGTCTAGCTGCCTGTAAAAAAGAAAAAAAGGGGGAAAAAACACAAAAAACAAACAAAACATAAATCAAACACAATAAAGTTATGATGAATCAGTAAGGCCTTAAAATAACATCAACTGAAACAGTTATAAATACAGCTGGGACAAATGTTGCCCCTAAAGTAGAACAGCCTCGTGCACATGCAAACACACACACACACACACACACACACACACACAAAACAACCATCATCAGCTTCAGAAGAACCACTTAATTAAGCTTCATGTCCTTAAGGAGTTTACAAATTAATTTGTTTTCAATACCATAGGATCGCTCTCGTTTTCATTTTTGATTTTAAGAGCATTTTCACATTCAAACAAAAAATATTATATTTATGTTATGAATCTAAAAACCACGTGCAACATAAATAAAATGAAGAAAAAAAAACACAAGATGGAGCTTTTGCAAGAGAGAGAGAGAGAGAGAGAGAGAGACTTCAATTTCCTAATATTTCCAAATAAAAAAAATATTTTTGTTAGAGTTTAGACCCCCTCAGGATGGATTCAAGCTGTGCGACGGAAACGTCACCAGTTTCCCAATTAACATCCAGCCTCCGTCTCCTGATTCTCGGGGACGTGGGGACAAAAGGTGCACGGTTTTGTGAAAGTGGCCAGATTTTCAGCATCACAGAAGTTAATCACAAAGCAGCAACTTTGTAAAGGGAAAATAAAGCTTCAGTCTGTGGTCGCAGCGTGGCTGGGAAGGATGTATAAAAAGAATTTACTCCACAAATTTAAGCTTGAAATGTTTTTAATCAGGTTACACTTTGTGTCTCCAGTTAAAACTCCATATTCAAAACAAAAAACAATGTATTCTGAATACGCTAAATCCGCTAAATGGTGTCTTTATTTCCATTGTGTGCAATTACAATTAATTCAAGAAAGTAATTACCAATTTCATAGATTTAAATTATCAAGCAAAGTAAATTGGTTTAATGCACTCTCAGCACTTAAACATTAAAATTTCATTTAAAAAGGCACCATTTTAAGGACATAAATAAAAGAAATTCGAAAATAGGAGGAATGTGAGAGATAACATCATGTTTATCAATCAGGCTGGACTCCATACTTCATTATAAATGAATATCTTTAGTTTGTAGGTTTTAAATAGCAGGTGCTAAATAGATTTATGTGTGTTTACAGCTGCTGAGGATGTACCAAAGATAACACAGTCAGTCTGCCAGTCACAGGCTTTCTCAAAAGGCCTCCTGTTCTTAGTCTCACAATATCTTTTTTCTTCTTAATACACATTTAAACATAACTACGTGGTGTGTTTTGTCAAATAAATTTCAACGCAGGAAGGGCTTTCTTATGAAAGTCATGCATACCACAGGTTCAGACTGTAGACTGGTCTGAGGTGTCTTTAAATGTGCCTGACATAATTTCATATCTGAAATCTTCAAAGCTAAAAATGCAAGAAAGCACAACAAAACTAAATTGGATTATTTTTTAAGAAAATAGAAACCAGTTTCGGGTTTATTTATTATTGTTTTTTTTTATTGTTACAACAGTGTTTTGTATTTAAAGCCAAAGTGCTAAAAGCTTATTAGAACTCCGGTGAGGTGATGATTAAAGTGACATAAACAACTTTAGAGGCTGCTGCACACAGTTTTCCGGTCTGTGATGAAGTTTAAATGTCTGTGCGCTCTCCACATCAATCACTGCGTCTGTGTGCATGCAGATGACTTACATCGTGGCTGTTGCTGTTGGGGCTGCTCTCCGACTCGTGGACCAGAGATGACTTGATGTCCGCCAGGTCTCCCTCCTCCTCCGAGTGGCTGAGCTCGGCGAAGATCTGCTCCTTGTGCGGGTCTCCCTCGTCTTTGAACGGGATCATTTCATCCGTGGCGCAGAGCTCCGGGTCCCCGCCACCGCCGCCCGATAACTGTGGCATTGCTGCGGTGAGGGGCTTCTTGTTCGCTTCGCCACTTAAAGCACGGAGACAACACACACGCGCACTGTCCGGAAGGTTAACTCCCACTGAAACCCGCCGTCCCGGTCCCCCCTCCTCACCACGGAACCGACCGGGGAGAAGGACGAGTCCCTGTGGGAGCGCAGCGCCGACCGGGAGAGACTGTGAGGGGAAGCGGCGTGGAGACAGACACGCTGCCGGTGTGAGTGTGTGTTTTCACACTGAAGCAACAGGAGGACAGCCTATTTCTTCACACAACTTAAAAAAAGGCAGTTTAAATCTCGGAGACGAACTTAGGATAACAAATAAAACGAGAGTCCGACGAAAAACAACCCTCAAGTTCAAAATGTCATCTTATTTCAGTCTGCGGTCCGGTGAGAACGACTCAAAACAAAAAATAATTCACACATTTATAACAAGTCTGACAGAAATACTTCCTGTATGGTCCAGTGGGGAGGCTGTTCTGGTCCTTAGGTGTAAAAAAAAAAATCAAATTTATTAAAACCAAAACAGTGGAGGATGGATAGAAAGGGAGGGAAATAAAGGACACAAGTTCGTCAAATTAAATAAAAAACAGCCGTCGTGTCGCTTTTAAAAAAACATCTTCAAAGCTGCTCGAATGAGGAGAGATAAAAGCACAAATCATAAAACTATCAAAAAAACAGAAGGTAGAGCTGGAAAGAAACACGCCGAGGACCGACTTCCCAGTGCTCCTCCAGCGTTTCCACGGTGTAATGAAACCAGTACGTGTGTGTTGGTAATGTAGCTGCGCTCCTTCCTCCTCCTCCTCCTCCTCTTCCTCCCTCCTCAGTCACTGAAGGAGAGATGAAAGGGAAGCCGACGCTGTGATTGACACCGCACCGACTGACACTCCTCCAGAGATTTATACCAGACAGACAGGAGAGCACACTGTGTGCGAGATATGCTTTAAAACAATTAGTAGAAACAAAAAAACAAACTCAAATTTAATGTAGATGCAAAAACACTTTGTGTTTATCAGAGAAAACACATTGTGTCTTTTTTTAGAGAAAGATGTAAAGATTAATTTAGGGCCTTTTCTAAAAACAATAATAACAAACAGAAATTACAGGGCCTCATAGATTTAATATGATTCTCATAGCATCTTTGATTTGTTTTCTTGTTATTTATATTTATTAATGACCCCATTCCTAATTACACAGTGCATATTTAAAAGCCTAACTCAATAATGAATTCGTAAATGACCTTGTGATGATAAGAAATAAAATAAAATAAAATGCACCGTTTTATATGCTGTCCCAAAACTTTTCTTTAATGATTTTTCTTCAGAAAATAATGTCAAAAGGTAAAAACTGCAAAAAGTGGTAATAAAAAAAACAAGAACATCATAAAAATAACTGGATCTTTTTCATAGTTTCATATTTCACGTATATATTTTTGAAAAGGGAGAAAAAAACTGCAAATAAAGTCTCGTGTTTTGTTATATTTTTATTATTATTTTCTGTCTGAGCGCTGAGACGGTTGCGTGAGCAGAACTTTATAAAGCGCGGGGGGTGGGGTTAGGCCGGGAGGGGCGGAGCCGCGGCTCCCTTTGATCTGGCGGCGGCTGGCTCTTTCATCCCCAGCTACCCTCCCTCCCTC